TCAAACTGGCCGGTACACACACACACACACACACCCCCACACACACACACACACACACACAAAGACATTTTACAATAGCACTGAATATAATATAGCATTTTTGTAAAGAAATATATGAATGTGAATATCTGACTCAGTCACCTCATATTATTTTTATACCTCAGTTACTTTATATTTCTTACTATTTATATTCAAACTACCAAGACATAGAATGAATAATGTCTTCCATGTATAAGTGAATCTATGCTGTTTTTGAAACGAAAGCCCACCCCTGCTCACCACACTATTAGAGCCGTGTGACTCCCATCTCACTGTAAATACTCAATAACAGAATTCAATGGTAAATCAAATGTGTACCAAACAATCATTTTACTAAATGTTATCCAGAAGAGTCATTAAAATTTCATGTCCCGGGTGTGTACATACATAGACTGAGGCATGAAAATAAACCAAAAAAGGTCTGATCTTATTTATGCATCACAGCATCTTGAATTTAATGACTTAAATAAAACAGAAAGACGCGAACAGGACACCAGTTCTAGAATCTCACCGTTCTTTTAAGGACTTCTCAAGTATATAAATATATAGGAATATAAGCCAATTTACATTGTTTGTGGCTTCTTTTTACCCCTTCTTTTTTGTAATTAACACTCCAGCATCAGCTGTAAACACACATCCACAATGCCTCTGAGGGCCATACAGATGACATCTAATGTCAACAGATGAAATATGTAGTGAGGGGGGATAAACAGGCTAGATTACAGTAGCTGTTTATGCTGATGCTGATGCAATTTTCCTCTGTGAAGCAGTGGGCAGTGCAGCTGAGAGCCATCTAGTCTTGTTAAAAATTCAGCAATCCCCTCATTGTTTGTAAAAACTAGTTCAACGAAGCAGGCTTTAGAAGCCCATAGCAGTGCATCGTACAGAACAAACACTCACCAAGAGGACATTTAAAATTCTTTACCGAATCACTACTTTGTGCTTGCTCATAACATAAAATACACTGAAGCTTTTTCAAAAGCGGCAGCGCCACACAGCTTTTAAAAACAACATCTATTAAAGACGCAGGCAGTAAAGGTCAGCGCTGCAGTACACCTGTGGTGATTGCATGAGGGTGTTTGCTTCCAGTTGTAAAACCACATTTTAGTCATTTTGATTACTTTATTAATTACGCACCTCAATGCACTTACGCTGATTTATAACTATTTCTAAAAATGGTTTTTACAGCCTATGATGTTAACACATATGAGAAGAAAATAATTATTTTACCTGTGAAATGGATGAAAGAAAAAAACAACTAAAAGAGCTATGAGTGATGATAAAACTGAAGACCAATAAATACAACCTCTTGCGTAGGAAAACACTCTACTGGAATAAAGCCCGCCCACAACAGTTGACCACAGGGTGGGTACGGTTTTTCTTTTACTCCAGCTTCCCTTCTATCATAAATCACATTTTCTACTTAGACAGACCTTTATATCCTACATGCTGCTAAAACAGCAAGACCACATGGTTGTGGTGGAAGAAACAGAAATTTGCCACATTCCCTGAAAAAATGGGCAGATGTGATTAAAATTTTTGGTCTTAATAGGGAAATAGGGTTGCTGGGATGGCCAGCGTATCTCCCACGCTTCCTTGCAGCATTGTTAGACCATAAATTCAGGGAGTGGTCCAGGCATGGAATCACTGCAATCTGTAAGATAGTTAAGCATGGGGAGCTGATAAATTTTGAGGACATGTGTCAGATTTACAAGATCGGCAGGGAAGATTTTTATCGTTACCTACAGGTTCGCTCCGAACCTGTAGGTAACGCTTCTTCCGGAAGGAAATTAGAATGCTTGACACAGATGCTAGTGGGGTGATCAAAATATTTATGGATGCTTATGGTGAGAACATTAAAAGAAGTACTATAGGCAAAATGTACAGAAGTTTTATAGCTATGAAAAAGACCTCAACAAGACATGTCAGTCGTCGATGGGAAAAAGAAGCCGGTATAACTATCTCAGAGGAAGATTGGTTGCGGATGTGGAAGAATGTGTTATCTACCACAAATTCTTTAACATGGCGAGATTTTGGATGGAAGAATTTAATTAGATTCTTCATCACACCAAAGCAGAAATCCAAAATAAGTGGTTCAGGCACTTCATGCTGGAGGGTGTACGGGGAGGTCGCTGCAGGTTGCGTCCATGTCTTCTGGTCATGCCCTAAACTGAAGACCTGGAAGTAGCACTGGACT